GAGAGAGAGAGAGAGAGAGAGAGAGAGAGATCCACCACCATCCTTTTCCCATTAAAATATTACTTAATTAATAAAATGTCCTCCTCAAACGGTTCATTGGAAAACTGAATGGAATGTTTCACAACTTCCAACACCTTTTATCGATCGACGTCATCGAATGATAAATGTAACTTAGGAACATTCCATTCAGCACCGGCAACCGAACCTCTTGAATGCTCATGCACAAACACATACACACACTCTCTGACACACACACACACACACACACACACACACACACACACACACACACATATACACACACACACACGCACACATAGAGACACACACACGAAACATTCACACACACACACATATACGCTCACAACATATGCATATGCACATACACACACACACACACACACACATACACACACACACACACGTCACTGCAAGACATACACACATGCACATGCGTGTGCACTATGCTGCTTTCTTCTCCCTGCCTCTCTTTGAGCGCCGCATACCACATTCCTCTTTTTACCTCTCTTGTTTCACGCTTCAGACTGCACCTCCCCTCAGCCCCATCATGCAAAGCATGGTCCATTTGTGTTGGCTCGGCTGATGACAACGATCTTCCTTCACTGTGTGACTTTCCTCCGTTCTCACCTGATTGCTCGATTAAGTTGATCACGTTCGAACTGCTACCGCCCGATCTGCCACGGCAGGAAGCTTCCTTTCCCAATCCATCCTCGCTGTCCACGTCCATGTTGTGTTCGAGGTTTGCATCCTTGTCAACTTCCTCATCATCATTTTCCACTTCACGACCATGTGTCATACGAACTCCCTCCATGCCACCACCTTCTTCCCTCTCCATCAAGTCGGGGGCTATCTGCGAGCCAGAGCTAGTGCATACCATGTGCAGAAGTTTGTCCCCCTCATCTCTGTTATCAGCAAAAGGCTCGGTAGTGTCCCGAGGGCTTGCTCCTCCAAATACCAGTGCATCTCCCGCATCGTGCTTCCCCCCACTTCGTCCTCCATGTGACGACATGCCTGTGTTGGCTGCCGAAAACGGGTCTCCGAGTCCACTGGGCACCCGCTGGGCACCCCCATCCCCGGCATCTCCCGCATCTTCGTCGGTTGTGGCCTCCTTTTCCCCCTGTTCCTTTGTATTTCCTGCCTCTTCCCCACCACATCCCGGACCTGCCGTCTTTTCCCCTGGCACCGCACCAACGCCCTCAGAAAACGGCATTTTTAGTAGCTCATCAACTGATGCCTCATGAGTTCCCTGTTTTTTACATTCGACGTCCTTCCTCTCATGCCCTTCCTTTTCAGCAACACTCGTCTTAACGGCTCCTTGTCTAGACCCGTTTCGGATATTCTCTTCCATGGCTTGAGTGCACCCCACCAATATGTCACTGTCGTACAATTGTTCCGTCTGGCGACACTCCAATGGCCATCTAATCTGTCCTTGTGAAGGGCTCGATTTTCTCTCATAGAAAGCAGCGCAATACTCCAGAAGATTGTTTTGAAGCAGCGCTTCAAATACGGAGTTCACCTTTTTGCTGATATCTTGCTCTCCTGCACCCTTGTTTGCCTGCAACACGCGCAACAATAACTGTTCCTTTGCAGTCTCAAGGAACTTACTCCTGCTCAGTCTCTTCTTGAATATCTACTTCCCTCTGACTCGGACAACCATGTGCCATTTGCCATCAAACATACATGGCTAAAAAACACCCGGATGCCATATGATGTGATGGCCCCATTTGTACACCTCAGTCTTTGTGAACTTGGTGTCCAAAAAGTGAGGTCCTCCTTTGCTCTCCTTCATGTGACTTTCGATTTCATCTCCAGGAGTTAGATCTTTGTCCTCGTCGTCTGAAATATGGAACAGCGGATTGTCCTCCAGACACATGTCATCCTCCTCAGGCCCCGCGTCGTCATCTTGACCACGATTTTGGTTCTGTGTTGGCATTTCCATGACTTGGTCGAACATTTGCCGCATCAACGTTGGAAACCCTGGGGCGCCTTTCTTGTCTTTCCATTTCGAAGTGCTGGCCTCGGTACCATCTCCTGCGGATGACGTCTACGTGTGTGTGAGTTGGGCGGTCTTGCAGCTGGCCATTGTCGGTCCCCCGACTTCAACCACCACCGGGTGCCCCCCCAATAAGGACCCGGTGCGCATGTTCTTGTCAGCTGCGTGGTTTCTTGCATCAGGCAGCGACAGGTCGATCTCGTCATCATCGGTATCCTCCTTACTGTCCATTATATCGAAACGGTCTTCAGGCTCCAACGCTTCGTTATAAATCCTTGCGTCGATGCGGCGCATCTTTTTGTCGAACCACAGGTCCTCGCAACGTGCCAAAAATATCTCGATTACACCAATCTTGGCGTCGTGGTACCGCTGGAGGTGTTGGAGAGCGACGACTTTTCGCGCAACGTAATCAGTCTCTGTTCGTGTGTAAGGAGCATTGCAGAACAAGTACTTCCATAAAAATTCTCTCTTCTTCCCGAGTTTCAGGAACATGTCTCGATCTGGTCGATGCTGGGTTTTGGGCCGTTCGAAGTGACAACGACTTTCGGGATTATGGACGAGGCGATCAATAAACGCCGAACAATATTCGAGCATGGTGGTAGAGCCGTCACATGCCACCACATGACGGTCAGATCGAAGCAAGTCCCAAACTGACCCGGATTGGACGTTGCCCAGAAGAAGCACACCATCCTCCTCCTTCGAAAACCATGAACACAACTCCTTCATTCTTGTTGGTTGTCTCTCCCAGACCCCATAAACAGCTTTGTCTTCGCCGACCACGCCGATGTGCTGTTGTGTGCAACGGACGAATATATCCTTCTCGTAGTTAGTGTCAAAAAACACATTATCATGTTTGGACGGGACAATGACTTTTTTGAAGTCATTGCCCGTGTCGTGCAACACAAATCGTCATTGAGTTGCGGCTCCTCAATGGAAGATTCCCAAGGGGGACACATGAGGATGGTTGCGTGCCATGATGCCGTCGCCAGCGGCCCGGAAGAACTTTCACACACCCCCACCTGAAGATGTTTCTTAGAATGTAGTCCTCGCCCTTCAATCCACTGAAAATGATGAGTGTCCAATATGTCCCACACAGAGTCATCATCATTTGTTGAAGTTCCACAAACCTCTGCTCCGTCCATGAATCCAGATTCTTGTGGGGAGCCAGGTCCAGCACCGCAAGGTGACAACTCAATTTCTTCACAGCATGAGTCAGATCCTCTGTCGGTTGCAGCCCATCCAACGGCGCCATGCACACAGGCAAATACGTTGTATTACACTTCCCCTTATCCCACAGTATATGCTGTGCATTTGCGTTGACGCGCTGAAGCTCGTCCTTCAACTGGCTCACCGCTCCCACTATCTCATGCAGGAACAGTTTGATGAAGTACGGGCACTCGATATACATTTCAATCATCACCTTGTACCCCCCCACATTACCCTGTCCCAACTTTCCCTCATCCACCCCCCCCAGTCGTTTCGGCACGTTGTTCGTTATCTCAACTGGAAGTTTCATCTTCTTCTTCTCCCATTTCTCTTTCGTCAACCCGTGCGGCTCAAACCTCTTCATAATATCATCATACCCGATGAAGAAATCGTCATTCCACTCACGCTGTCCCCTGCGTTCCGACTTGAAGAGCACGTACTTGAACATGCGCACCATGTATCTCTCCCTGCGCACTTCTGTGTAGAGGTCGTTCATGTTATCAGTTTCTTGGCGAAACTCCTGCCGGTGGTGACAACGACCTTCCCTGCCAAAATCAAATCCAATGCCATCTCCTTCTCCCTAGCAGTGAAATCCCCGAACACTTTCCAAGCGCTCGCCGGAGGATCATGAACACACACATAGTACCCATTTGGACTTTTGTTCGACTGCACGTAGTGCACCAGTTCCTTTTTCCGTTTCACTGTTTTGGCAGCTGGACCTGCACCGGACGCCTCGCGTGGCCTCCCCTCTTGATCAACCGGCCTGACTCCATCCTGCCCAGGCAATTCCCCTTTCTCCCACATGTCGAAGAACCGGTTCACCAACTGCCACACTGCGTTGCCAGTGGGGGCAAGGCACATGAACGGCCTCAAGAGGTTGGACCAATTACGGACAAATTTGTTGTTCAGCGACTGATTCCAGAGCTCAGTGTCTGGTGTCATCCGTATCGCTTTGTGCAGAAAAGCATGATAGTTCTGCTGCTGCGCCACCTTGTCATCTTTTGTTTTCGCGAGATGCCAGTCGCCCTTCGGGCATTTCATATGACCCCACAACCCTCTTATTGCGGTGACAACCATTCTAAACGACGAAGGGATAGATCGAGTCTCCCTCGTGTTGTCAAATGTGAAAATGTCGGCATACCCGTCAAGATGGTCATCATCGAAGTACACCGCACGCGCTTTCCATGACCACACGCCCCATTTCCTGGCAGAGGGAGAGTTCGTTGTCTCCAACCTCTTCGCAGCTTCCACCGTGTGTTGGCCTGCCACGGCATACCAATGGTACGAACTGACATCCTCGTCCCTCCAGTCCTTGGGTTTCAAACGTTGCCACTGTTTCTGCCCGTTCCGCGTGACTTCTATAACAGGAGCCAGAATAAAGGTGTTTCTGTCCCATTCTTTCTGTTTCTCTGGCCGTTCCATAGCGTCTTTGATGGAGGCGACCAACATCTCGTTCAGGGGTCTGTGATTGTACTGGAATTCCCCGTTGTCTGGGTTCGGCAAAATCTTGCGGACATCTACGAACACCTGAACAGGCTGGTCGATCGCATTGTCGTCGTCATCATACTCCAGAAAGAAACCTCTCGTTGTGTCGATAGCATCCGACACCAACTGTTCCGGCTTGGACATATTATCTCGAGGGTCAACCCCGACCGCCTCGTCCCCAGAGTCTGCAACTTCCTTTCCACCGTCTGTCTTCGCTTTCTTCTTTGGTCATTGGGAAGAGCGTGGCCGCTCGCGTTTTTCCTTCGCCGGCTTTGTCGACAGTGCGTCCAATGCCTTCTTATACGCCTCCTCCGAAGCTGCCAAACCTATCAACTTCGACTATCTTCGCCTCTGCTTCTCATTACCGCTAGCTCTCGATTTTCTCTTCCGCGAGCATACTGATCTCTGTGTGTTGAGGACGTCCTCGTCTCTAGAGCGAAGCCTCTGACTGTCGGCGTATTTGCGAGGCTCATTGACAGACACTCCGTATTCATTGGCTTCGTCCTCTTCCCCTTCGCTCCCCGCTTCATAGCTGTCTTCGTCCTCCGCCCCCCGAACCCCAGTTCCCTCGTCGTCATCGCCATCTTTTAGCCCACGATGGTCGTCACCGTCTTTCTCGTCATCCCCACCGTCATCGTCATCCCCTCCGTCCTCGTCTTCCACCCCTTCCTTGCCGTCCCCGACTCCCTGTTCGTCACTGTCACCACCGTCGTAGACAGTGAACTGATCGTCTTCGTCTTCATCATATCCTTCGTACCCTTCAGCATTTCTCTCAAGCACAGGTTGCTCAGCTGATAAGTCGTCCTCCGTCTTCTCAGGATCCTTGCCAACTCCCCTGCCACCATCATGACGTGAAGATGAAACTTCTGTCGGACCTTGCCATCGCTTCAGACCCGGCGATAACCGTTTGGACACCATATTCGTTAGCCAACGTGGCGCGAGATCAGACTTCTGGACAGACTCAGACTTCTCTACGACCTTATCACGTTCGGTAATTCCCACCGAGTTGATTTGTCGAGCACCCGGGTCCCCACCGCCATGCGGCGACCCAACAGAGATCGCACTGTGTAGAATAGCCTGGCCAAGCGCCTGCAATTTATAAGACCGAAGCTTCGATGCGAACTCGTCAAGTTGAATATCGAACGGTATGAGGGGTTCCGAGAGCGCCAATTTGTTGTCCACCGTGCACACATGGCTAGACACCTTGTGGCAGTTAATTCTCTTGAGAAAATCGAAAGGGCGGAGCATCACAACCTGCGATCCGTCTTTTTTCCGCGACTTATCAAAAGGAGGCATAGCAGCGGCCCGCATGCCGTACCCGATGAACTTCTGCAAATGTAGTGACACCTGTTTGTAGTTGTCCGGTTCCTCGTTACCATCAGCGTCGAAGCAAGTGGTGACGTGAAATCTCATGTACTCCTCAGCAACCTCCAGTTTATCAAACGCATAATTCTTCACTCCACCGCAGGGGTAGTAAGCCCCGCTGGAATCTCTCAAGAAAACGACCGGGCCGCTATACGAGACTTTGATGACCAGGTGCCAATCGAGCGCCCAATACTTATCATGGAACGTCGCAGCCCTGCCAATCACCTTTGGCGTCGACGCACCCGAGGAGGTCTCTTTCCCAGCTACACAGACACCACACCCGATACGGAAATGAGCACGCAGTTGAATATGCACAGTTTATGAGCCCTTCACACACACACACACACACACACAGAGAGAGAGAGAGAGAGAGAGAGAGAGAGAGAGAGAGAGAGAGAGAGAGAGAGAGAGAGAGAGAGAGAG